TGTATCCTACCACATCAGACTGAGCGTGCCCCAGTTGAGTTATGCTGCGATTTAAACCTAATTATTGATCTGGTAACAGGGCAAGGAGTTGGGGGCATGCATTGGAGGTGGGAGGCACCTGTCTTGTGAGGATGAGGTCTCTGCAGCATAGTCTAGCCCAGCAAAAGTGCTAGCTCTTATTAGAAAATCACAAGCCACCTTTAAGCTTTTAGGGTGCAGAAGGCTTTGAGCTTCTGATCTTTGGGGTATCTACCCACATGTCTCCATTCCATGTTTCAGGGACCAGGGCATTTGCATCCAGGGAGGGCCCTGACCTTGACATAACATACCTGTCTTGGGTAAGTATTTAACTGACTACGGAGCTCTGTGACTCTGTCAAGCCCTGAATCTGCTTTTTCAGTGCAGGAAATAAGAGCTTCTATATAAGCTACTAAAAAAGCTGTTTTGGCTCTACACTTAGACTTTAACTGTTTTTTAATTTTATTTTGTTATGTTTTGTTTTATCCCTCAGTAGGGCATCCGTACAACTTAGACTAACCAGCTGACTCCACTGTCCTTTTAAGCATTGTGTACCCCGTATCTTTCCAATACCTGAAACATCACATTTGAAAGTGGGGACTGTCTACCAGGACACAGTTCTAATTAACTACCAATGAAATATTCAGGAGCTGGGCTGCCACAGTGTGCCAGGGATGGCCTGTTCCTACCTATCCCTAAGGATAACATGCGTTTAGCCAGCAAGACAGTGACTTGGGCAGTCACCAGTCCCCATCTCACCACCTCTTTTCTCAGACCATTTCTGGTTTACTTGTTAGTTCAGGTTCCCTGAGAAATGGACACCAAGACAAAACCAGCGATTTGTTGGTGGAAACACCTGTGAAGAGTAAAGCAAAGTGAGCCAGATGGGCAGGGAGAGGCTTCAGACTGTGGTGCCGCTCTGACACCTGTGAAAAAAGAGGCAGCGGGAAGAGGATTGGGTGGGGGAGTCTCACTGTGGCACTGGTCTGTGAACGTTCAGCCAATGCCAGTGGGGAGTCTGCCAGCCAGTGATGCCAGTGGGAGGCATACCATGTCCCATGAGCCAGCACTACAGTCCCCCCAGTGCCCTGTCACCGGCTGTGGGCAGTCTCGGGGAAGCTGGCTTCAGCACAAACATGGCGTGGTAGAGGACGCAAAGGGGTGCTGGCTGAGGCAGTCATTCAGTTATTTCTCCCCCAAGCAAATGACCAGATCAGCACATTGCCATTACCACCTCATTTAATGTCTGGGATGAACATTCCATCCTAAACCTACCACTGACTCCCAAAATGTGGTACGACGACTTTCTTTCCAGAACTGCATGAGAGGCGAACAAAGATGATCAGAGGCTAAGCTGCTATTTTCCTGACACAACAGAGTGCTGATCCTATCGCTGCATCACAAGGTGATTATCATCCTACACACTCAAGAGCAGTACCTGCCTCAAGTGATCTGACCCTTCATAGAGCCTTTAATTATGCAAGCAGATTGTGTTTGCTTACTGCACACATGGAGACACAGAGTAAGGAGAAGGGAGGAGAGGAGGACAAAAACAAAGGTCTGAAATGTATTTATGTAGATGTTGAAGCCAAGATTGGCCATGGAATATTTATGTTGAAGTGGTGGGAGTTTGTCTTAAGACCTGTTAAATAAGAAAGACATTGTTTCTCTTCTCTACTTATAGGTTATGATGAAATAGCTGAGAAGATTCAAAGAAGAAAAAGTAACATTAAATACCTACCATGCCCTAGGGATGTGATTAGATAAGTTTGCAAGTACTTTTACCTTTAAATCTCACAACAACTCTAAGAGGTAGATTTTAAAAAATGAAGAAATTGAGACTAAAAGAGATGCAGTGACCTTAGCTTCTTTATCATGTAAATGGCAATACACAAAGGGTTAAACAGCTTCATTTTTCACTGGTGTTTATATACACATGATTTCTGAAAAAATATATATATATTAAATATAGTTAATTACTTATAGTCATAAAATATTAGCACTTACAGAAATATCAGAGGTCATTCTATAGGTCTGGAGTCAGCAAACCTTTTCCATGAAGAGCCAGATAGTAAATATTTAAGACATTGCAGGGCAGACAGTCTCTTAGACAAGATGTCAAAGTATAGACATGGCTGTGTTCCAAAAAAATTAAAAATAACCTGTATTTACAAAACTAGTCAGTGGGCTGGATGGTTCATGGGCCACAGTTTGCCACCGTGCCTTAGATTAAAAGACAAAAACAAAAAAGAAACAAGGTTCAAAAGTAAGAACAACTTTCCAGTGGTTACTTAGTAATTACTTGCAAGGTCAATACTAAAATCAAGTTTCTTTCCTCCCAGTGTGTGACAATTCCAATGCACAAACCTTCTCTTCTAGGATTTTCAATTCTGTGATAGGAAAACAGGTAGTTACTCAAATAGAAAGAGGAAAAAGAAGACAAAAATAACAAGCAGGCTATGGAGAGCCTGGAATGCCATGCTGGGGAGGCACTGGGGAAACACCGTGGGTCCACAGGAGCTTGGCAATGAAGGGTTGGGAATGTCAGAAGCCAGACACAGGAGGATGCCTTCTGGAGGTGACTGTAGCAGTCCAGATGGTGACCCTGAGCAGTGAGGAACTGACAAAGGCCATGGAGGTGGGCTTAGTGCAGGATACAGACGGCACAGCAGAGGAAGAAACTATGAGAATCCCTGCTTGGGAGCAGGGACAGGGACACAGGGCTTGTGCAAGGAGGGTGGTGAGCAGCAGGCCCGGCACAGTGGAGGCAGAGACGCGGCTGCTCGTCTGCATGACCGATACAACAGCGACTCCCGGAACAAAACAGGAAATTAAAAGTTGCTGAGCCGAAGGAAAACCACATCCTGCAATCGGCCTATCTTAATGGATTATAGAAATCTCGCTGTAAATGCCCAACAAACAGGAATTGGCGGCTGTCTATCAGGGAGAGTTTGCAGCCGGAGACAGGGTTAGGAAAGCCAGCTGCTCTGGCACATCTGAAGGAGAACGGGTAGATCGGGTTGGCCCAAAGGCAGGACCATAGACAAGCTTCTAAGGGGCAGGAGAAGCAAAAGAAGACAAAGTGTCAGTCAGGGAGTGAGACGGAAAACCAGGAGAGGACAGCCTAGCAGAAGCTACGGGCGGATCTCTTTGCAGCTCTCTGTGTCTCTGCATCAAGACATCCTCCTCCCGCCTCCCCCAGCTGGTCCCTGCTCATCCTGTAGGTGTGCTCAGAAGTATCGCCTCCTTGGGAGGGGATCTGCCTGCTCCTGCTCCAACTCTACCGAGCCATAGTCACTCCTTGTGTCCCCAGCACCCTGGGACGTCCTCCCTGAGGGCTCAGATCTCTGTCGTATTCATCTGCGTGCTGACACATCTCCCTTACGAAACTCTGCATTCTTGGAGCTCAGGAGTTGGCCTCTTGTTCCTATTTTTTAAAAGCTAAGAATATGCCACTGTGTTTGGCATTTGGCACATAGTAGGGCTTAAAGCATATTTGTTGGTGGCTGTGTAAGGAAGAGAATTGTCAACATTGTCAGAAGCTGCAGCATCCTAGAAGGGAGCGAGAGCTGAGAAAAAGATTAAGGATGTGACCCTGAGGCAATCCCCGCAGACTTCTCTGAATGTTCAGATCATAAACCCGCCTCGTGGGGAACTCAGGAGTGAGCAGGAGATGAGGATGCAGAGGTGAGACGGGAGGGATATGTAAAGTACCCTCTTCTTTTTGTCCACAATTGCTGTGTAACAAACCACACCAAAATGTAGTAGCTTTAACAATTGCTATCCTGAATAGGCATCTGCGGCAGGGCTGGGGGTGGGACGGAGCATCGTCACCCCTGCTCTACAGGGCGCTGGCTGCAGACGCTCTGCTGGCACTGGAGGATCTACTTCCAACACAGCTCACTTCCTTGGCTAAGAGCTCAGGTGTGGCCTCCATTTCTCTCCACGTGGGTCTCTGTCCAAGACTTTCCAACAGCAGGATGGCTGGGTTCCAAGAGACCCAGGCCAGAGCTGTGAGGCCTTCTGTGATTGACATTCACAAGGCCCAGAGAGTCACTTTCACTGCGGTGCATTGGCCCAGACAGAGAGCAGAGAAAAACTCCACTTCCCAGGGTGAAGAGAAGCAAAGGGCTGGCAGGCCACTCTCTTCTGGTACACCTGCCTGAGTCCCCGCTTGCTTTTATAGTTAGCAGACTGAGGCCCTTGAGAGGCTGAGTGATTTACACAACTTCACACAGAGAGTCAGTAGCTAAGTAGAACTGGGGCTTTCTACCTCTCCTTTTGGCTCTCTTTCTGCTAGAATCAGGTGTGTACTTCTACGTGGTTGTGTGGTAGTCCATGGCAAGGTCACAAAAAGTCGCCTTTTTAGAGTAGAGAGAATTTGTATGTATCCATGCTCAAAAAAGAAAGAAGAAAGAAGTTATTATCTTCAAATATGTGTGTGTGGGCCAGGCACAGTGGCTCACGCCTGTAATCCTAGCATTCTGGGAGGCTGAGGAGGGAGGATCACTTGAGGTCAGGAGTTTGAGACCAGCCTGAGCAAGAACAAGACACTGTCTCTACTAAAAATAAAAAAAATAAAACAAAAATTAGCTGGTCAGTCCCAGATACTTGGGAGGCTGAAGCAGAAAGATCACTTGAGCCCAGGAGTTTGAGGTTGCTGTGAGCTAATCTGATGGAAGGCACTCTAGCCCGGACAATAGAGCAAGACTCTGTCTCAGAAAAAGAAAATGAAAATAATATGTGTCTGTGTGTGTATGCATGCATATACATACATACATATATACATACATACATATATATACACATACACACATATGTATATATACCCCACACACACATATACATATATACACACACTACACATGCATATATATATAGAAGGGTAGGCAGCACAGAATACTTGGGCTCAGTAGTCGAGTGCAAGATTTAACTTTTATATTAAAGAAAACATTGCAGATTTTAATAATAGTAATATTTTTGATCATTTATTCAGTGCCATACACCACTCTAAGTTTTCCCCCTTTGAAGGACATGATATTATTAAGTCTCAGGTTATAAATGAGGAGAGGTGAGGGGAACTTAAATAATGCATTCCAGGTTGCACATCTTGGACCAATCAGTTGTAAGTGGTAGAGCTGGAGTCTCAGTCAGTCTGGACTGCTATAACAGAATCCCACAGATTGGGTGATCAAAACAACAGACACTTATTTCTTATCATTCTGGAGACTAGGAAGTCAAATATCAAGGCACTAGCAGATCCAGCATCTGGTAAAGGCCCTTTTCCTGGCTTGCAGATGGCTGCCTTCTCATTTTATCCTCACATAGCAAAGAGAAAAACTACCTTTCTCTTATTTCCTCTTAGAAAGGCATTGATATCATTCAGAAAGGCCCCACCCTCATGACCTAATCATCCCCAAAGTCTCCACCTCCTAATGCCATCATATTGAAGGACAGGATTTTAACATATTAATTTGGGGGGGACATAAACAGTCCATAAAAACTGGGACCCACAGCCACACAGTCTAATGGAAAAGCCTGCAGTCCCTTCTCATATTTTACTGCTTGTATATCTTATTTCAAGTGTTGTTTGTTTTGTTTTTGTTTTCTGAGGGGGTTAGTTGCAGTAAACTTTGGACAGTTTGTTATATATGCATCTCATCTTGGGAATAAAGGTCATATTGCCTTGCACTTCTCTGGGTCCCCTGGCCCCTAACACCTGCACCATATTCCTCTGCCCCCCATCCACACACACATTCGGAGAAGGGGGTCCCTGAAACATTCACAAATACTGGTAAAAGGGGGATAGATGCAGGTCTTGATTTACAACTGTACCCCCTAAGGGCTGCAGTGTTGTGTAACAGCATTAATGCCTGTGAGTCTTCAGATGGAGCTTAACGCAGATACCATGGTGGGCAGTTGCAGTACAAATGCTTGGTTCTTGCTCAAGTCCAGCGGGAGAAACAGATTGTTAGCTCCTTGGTGATAGGAGCATCTTATGTTCAAGGTATCACAGCACCTAGCATAGTCTCAGGTCCTAGAATATAAGAGATATTGAGTAAGACTTTGTTAAACAAACATAAGAATGAGTGATTATTAAACAGCATGATAAATATTACAAAAGAGATACAAAGTACAATCAAAGCATAAAACAAAAAGCAATTCACTTCCCAGGGGAATGGTAGGGGATAACTACTGAAATAAAATAAATTTTGAACTAAATATTGAAGAATGAATATGTGTTTTTGAGATGAGTGTGTTGTGTTCTAAAATCTCATAATATTTCTCAAAAACACACATTAATGCATATTAGGAATAGAAGGTAAGGGAAGTCAAAGGTCAAAGAGGGACTTCATCTACCCTGTAGTGAACATCTGCAGATGTAATACCATTTAATCCTCGTAATAGGCCTTTGACATGGGTTTCATAATCATTTCACTCTTGACAACAGTGAAACTGAGGCTCAGAGAAACAAAGCCATTTTTCCAAGGTTGTACCTTTGGTACACAGCAGAGCTGACATTTGAAGTTAGCTGGGTCACAGAGCGGGAGACTCTGTCTTTAAGTCCAATGCCTTAAAAATGCTATTAGAAGACAGAAGTCATTTGCATCATGCTTCAGCAAGTTAGTAGGCCTTCCTGTCTCTAGAAACTACCAGAATTTCCATAGCAACTGCCAGTGGCTGGTTTAAACAAAGTCTATAGTGCCTTGGCTGCAGGTTCCTCTTAAAGATCCCTGGCTGGATGTGGATGTCACGCTAGCCCTCCAAACACAGCCAGCCCACCTGCCTTTCTGATAAGCAGTGACCAGACAGTAAAACCATAATCTGCTTTAAAAAATATGTGCTAAACAGATTGGCACTTGCTTTTAAAGAAAAGTAGAAAGAAATTGCCACGTTGACCTACCCTTCAGGGCACAATGACTGGGCACACCATGTTTTGCATCTATATATATCCTCACCTCTCATGGCTGATGTGGAAATTGCTTAAAAAGCCAACCCTATCCCTGTGGAGAGGCTCTCACAGGTCCCTGGCTGGGCTTCTCTTTCCCACTGCTTGACCTGGACACCCCACCTGAGCTGCCAGCAACCTACACTCTCACCTGGCTGTCAACTGTCAAGGTGATGAACACCCATCCTTATTGATGGATTTCTATTGACAGCACACCTCTAAAAGTCAGGCATCCTGTTGCTCTTAGTCTTGGCTCTCATTCACACAGCAGTCTAGACTCTCTGAGAACAGAGTGAATTATCACAGACTGTGGTATACAAGGCAGGTTCAAAACTTTGGGGCCTAGGGGCATTAAGCGGAATTGGATAGAGAAGTTTGTTCTTCCTTTATCTTTCTTAAAACAGTTCCTTGTATCCCAGAAGAGTAGTGAATCAAGCTTTTCATTGTTTAAGCCATTGATTGGCTTAGCCTGGTCTGGGAATCTGACTCCCTCCCTTTATTTTTTTTTTTTTTATCTGATTTTTATCCATGTCAGCCTAATGATGCACATCTCCAAGGGTGCCTGGCCACGTGTGGATGGTGTAACTACAAAAGCTGAACTATTGATTGTTTATTGCCTCATCACTACTTTCTCATGGCAGTCTCAGCAGAGGGACAGTGCCTTGGGCCACTTTGCATTTCTGAAGTCTAGTCTAGGGTCTTGTGTTTCATGAGCATTCAAGAAATGTTGAATTAATGAATGAACGTCTTGATCTATTCCCATCACACAGAATAAATTGGTTGGGATTATAATATGAATTTCATGATATGGGTAGAAAGACTGTGTCACTTTCACTGGGATTGATTAATAGACCATTTTTCCTTGAGGTGATACTCTAAACAACCTTGAAGACAAACTTAAATTGTCTTCTCTGTCTCTCTAGCACCTGCAAATCTCTACTAACTAGGACTTCTAGCCTCTGTGTTTGTGAATTCTTCCCATTACAGTCTATCAGTAACCCCACCCCGATACCCTCACATCCATCTAAATTCAATTATTCATTTTTTCTTCTGTATTTTCCCAGCTCACATATTTCTATTTTGGAAACTTAAAAAATTGTAGGGATATGAAAGGTGCAATGGGAAAACTAAACCCAACCAAAATACCCCTGAAGTGTCAGAATCAGGCATTCACAGGTTTGAATCCCAGTTCTGACATGTACTAGCTGTGTGGCCTTAGAAAAATTAATTTACTGTGCTGAGCTTCTTTATGTGAAAATAATCACACCAATCCCCATGTTAAGCCCTTATCAAATGTTCAGCCCATAGTGGGTGCTCAAAATATTGTATAGCCTCCTTTTTCTGCTTTTTTTAAAGTAAATAATTAGTAGGAATGTATCCACTGGAGAGACATTAATGCTCGCACGTGTTCACTCAACAGATATTTTTAAGCACCTGCACTATTCCTGGGCAGGCACCAGGACATGGTACTACACATGGTGGATCCAGCCCTGCCCTCATGGAAACCGAAGATGACACTCAGTTATGCATGGGACAAACAAGAACCAAGTGCCCTGAGGGTCAGGAAATTGTGCAAGACCATAGACCTCCATGGTTCTCACTCTCCAAGGACTTACAGCCTATGAAGAGGAGGCGAATTCAAGGACAAATAAGGTCACACAGTGTTAATCAAAGTCCCTTTGTCAAAAACACTGGAATTTGTTGGATAAGGAAACTTACCCAAAGTGGCTTCCCTGCTTGCAGCCAACATTGAAACTACTTCCACAAAGGAAGGGGATGGACTCGTGCCAGATGGTCAGTCCTTTGATCTTCAACCAATATAAATATCACGCTGCTGCTGTGACAATGGAGTTCTCTGCTTAATCCACTTTAATAGTGAACAATTTAGCCCAAGGCCAGGTACACAGAGGTATGGTCAGCATTAGTGGAGAGGCTGGTGAGGCATTTTCTCACCAAGAAATAATTTCCACGTGTTTCCTAGGAAAGTTCTGATTTTTTTATGCATGAGCTTGAGGAGCACTCTGAGATTATCTAGTCCAATTCCTCATCCCATAAAGCACTTTTTTCAGACGTCCATTGCATGCTAAAGGGAAGCAAAGATGGATGAGACTGGAAAATCCTATGAAACAAGCCCACCTACCCACATATTTTAGGTCCTTTTCTGCACTGTTTTTCTTTCCTCTAAATGGAATATCCACCCCTCCAATCTTTGCTTCTTGGTCTCTCACAGTTTAGGGTCTTTACCACACAATACATCTGAATCAAACAGTAATCCCTCAGGCCCCGCCTGGGGTGGAAAGCTGGTTTGTAAATCTAAGTCCAGAGATAATTAATGTTTGAGGACAGACAATGGAGACCTGTGTAATAAGAGAAAGCCAGCTTTTTCTTGGACACATCTCGGTGGGAAACAGCATCCTGTTAGGAAACAAGCATGGGCTCTGGAGTCAGACAGACCGGAGTTGGATGTTTGCCTTCTTGGTGTGTTGATTTGATCAAACATTTAAATTTCTAAATCTCGTGTTCTCGTTCATAAGGTGAGAGTAATGTGTTCAGCTTACGAGGTTGTTGGGGGCATTGACTAAAATAACGTAAGCACTGAAGCCATAGTAGCTGTGTATAAATGTGATTTCTGTCCTTCCTTCCCTTGATATGGTTGTTTCCTTGACTCTGCCTCTGTGTGTGTGCCTATACAAGTTTTTCCATTTCCTCATAAAACCAACAAATGACAAGAAAAGGTGCTCCCTCAGGCACAAGCCATTTTACTTTGTGCACGAAAGTCCCCAAGACACAGCCTCCGTGGAGTAAATCACGCCTCTGAGTTTGAGAATGGCTTTATGCGGGGGCAGACGTGTGTGAGACAGCTCTTAGAAATCTAGCAGCCGCAGGGTGGAAATGGCCAGCTCCGTTGCTCCTGATTCCCGCGTCCTGTCACCTGAGCCGGAGCAGATTCCCCACATCTGCAATTAGCGACCAGCAGCCTTTAAAAGCGCCTTGCCCCGCTGTGCTTTCTACCTGTCTCTCACGGGAGACCTAAACGTGCTTTGACGCTAATAAACCTGGAATTATTCCATTTTATCAAGTTGTAGGCTGACAGCGAGGATGAGAAATCATGAAAACCCAACCTCCGCGTTATCCGTTATCTTTGGGACCAGCTTGAAGCATCTGACAGACTCCTCGGCCGGCCACACTGCACATTTCTAACGCGAGGATCAAGCGGACTTCTGTTTTTTGTTTGTGCATGTGTTTGTTTCTTGTTTCATCTTACTATACAGTTGAATTATTGTGTCAACTGTTATACAAACGCTTGTTTTTGATGGGCGCGTTAGTGCCATATTGGGATTTTTATTATGCTTTTTCACCGAGTCCATTTCAGGTGTGCTAGATTCCAGTATCTGAAATAGAGGTGTACATTTTGGTCACATTTCTGTCATTTCAGTGCATCCCTCAGTTCTCAATGTCAGCAATATAATGGCACATGGAGCCGTCCTTCCCCCTAATACAATTCCCCATGGGGACAGTGATCCATAGCACGTATTTATCTATGTTCTGGTCTACCCTTAGCCTGGCGACCTCCATCTCCCCATGGGCAGTCTTCCCACCATCAGCCTCAGGCGATACTGACTGCCAGATTAGGAGAAGATCTTCTGAGATTGTTACTGCAACTCTGGAATGACATCGTGGCCAGGAACACCAGCTCTGGTCCCATAATGCCTGGGTTCACATTGATCGCACCACTTACTGGCTGTGCAGCTACGGGCATGTTATTGAATCTTTCTTTGCCTCTGTTTCATCATTTGTAATACGAAGGAAAAATTGTATCTACTTCCAAAGAATGTTTTGAGGATGTAACACGATATTCACTTTCTATATAAAAGTGCCCGAATCCAAAAAATCACTCAATACTTGTTAACAGTTATTTGTTATTTTGTATGTGAGAAAACTGTGGTCCAGTAAAGGCAAGATTTCAGCCCCAAGGTCACACTACAAATTAAGGGATGAACCTAGACTAAGATTCAGGTCTCTGTATAACCTCTCCTTAAACCACTCTCCACTATGTCTGTGACACTTCACTCAGAGTCTCAAATATCCCTTGCCCTTATGAGCTTCACAGAAGAATCCTTCATCTAGAAAATAAATACATCCCTCCTTGAGCTAGATCTGGGAATATGGTCTCTGACCTTAAAGAGAGCAAAGCCCAAGGGTAGACAAAGACAAGCAAACACAAAGCGTCTACGTGACGTGGCTGGCATTAACAACAAAATAGAGACATGGAAGTCCCACCGAGGACTGTGGAGGTTCCTTCTGCCTGAAATAGGTCAGTGTGTGACTAACACTGAAATAGTCACAGAAGAAATGTTCCATAAATCCTCAGGAAAGATGAGTCAGAAGGAAAATAATATGGTCAGGGAGGGCATTACAAATCTACCCATCATTCATGCATGCAACAAATATTTATTGAACATTAATTATCCCCTGAGTCCAAGCTATCTTCACATTCTGAGTTATTGCAAATTGCTCCCTAACTGGTTTCCTGTTATGCAAATCTTACTCCTGGCTCACAAATACAGGGGTCTTTTGGCACTGCAAATTTAATGCTGACCCCACTCACCTCCGTTTAATACCTGCCCGACAACTTTCATGTGACAGAAAGGCCCTACACTGTCTGGCTGCTGCTTTTTTTTTTTTTTTTTTTTTTTCACAGACTTCTTTCACTCCATCTGTCCCTTGTTCTCTGAGGTCCAGGAAAACTTTCTTTAAATTTTACTAAAATCCCCACTTTTCTAGAACAATTGGCCTCAAAGCTCAGGTCTGGTGCCCTTATGACAAGCTCTGGCAGCACCACAAGCCTTACACTTTCAGAGCTCAGTTTATGATTTGAACTGCACTTAATTTTTATGAATATTTTTGCTCAGCTTCCCTGGTAGCCTGTGCTGCTTTTATTTGGTATTGATTTTTTTTAGTATAGAATTATGTTTATTAAATATTTAAATTGTTTTTCCTCTTATTTCATCACATTATGGGAGTACAAATATTGTTAGGGTTACATATATTGCCCCTGCCACCCTCCCTCCCTACCCCCTGCCAGAACTTCAAGCGTGTCCAACCCCCAGGTGGTGAGCACTGCACCCATTATGTAAGTATACACACTTCTCCTCCTCTCCCCTCCTACCTGTCCTCCACCGGATAAAACTCTACTTTTTTTTAACATTTTGATTACATTGTTTATCTTTGCCTCTCCCTAAGAAGGGTTAGAGGTATTCCCTTCCTCCTCCACAATGTTCGCCACATCCCTAAGATGTGGGTCTCCCGCCCCCACCCCGTGAATCCCTAGTGAACACTACCACCATTTGAGCACCATAGTTTCAATCAGTCAGTATCAATTTGATGGTGAGTAGATATGAAGCCCATTTTCCTGATCTTGTGTCACCTCACTTTGGATAATGGGTTTAAGCTTAATCCAGGATAGCATAAACAGTGCTAGTTCACTGTCATTTCTTAGAATTGGGTAATATTCCATTGTGAGCATATACCAAATTTTAATTATCCACTCATGAATTGATGTTGGGTTGTTTCCATGATCTTGCAATAGTGAATTATGCTGCCATAAACATTCAGGTGCAGATGTCTTTATAATAGAATGTCTTATGCTGTTTTGTGTAGATGCTCAACAATGCTATTGCTGGGTTGAATGGTATTTCTATTTCTAGCTGTTTGAGGTATCTCCAAATTCTTTTCCACAAAGGTTGCACTAATTTGCAGTCCCATTAGCAGTGTAAGAGTGTTCCTATCTCTCCACATCCTCGCCAGCACTTGTTGTTTTGGGATTTCTTGATACAGGCCATTCTCACTGGGGTTAGGTGGTATCTCACTGTGGTTTTGATTTGCATTTCTCTGATGATTAGAGATGTTGAGCATTTTTTATATGTTTGCAAGCCACTATTCTGTCTTCTTTGGAGAAGTTTCTTTTCATTTCCATTGCCCATTTCTTGATGGGGTTGTTTGATTTTTTTCTTGTTTATTCTTTTAAGTTATAGATAGATTCTTATTATTAGACCTTTATCAGAAGTGTAGAGAGCAAAAATTTTCTCCCATTCTGTGGGTTGTCTATTTGCTCTAATGATAGTTTCCTAGTACATTGAATGGGACATGGTAGGTACTCTTTGAAGTTTTGATGAGATGAGCTCTGTACCAAGTAAGGGCAGTAGCCACAATAGCAATTACCTACAGGAAGATTGATCAAGTAAGTAAATATATTAAGGATAATGGGAGACAAGTTCCTATTGGAGAAGGGAACTTCAAGAAAGGAAAGAGAAAAAGCTAAAATGAACCTCATAGTATTGTACTGGAGTTGGAATTTTGTGTGTGAGTGAGAATGTGTGAGTGAGAATACATACATATTAATATTAATTCATTCTTTAGTTCCATCCAGTGAGAGGGCCTGGGATTCATGGCATTGTCCCTATGAAGGTCTTCTGCAGTAGCAATAAGCACACCTAGCACCCAGATTTGGGTTTCTAAATACCATTTCCCACTTATAAGTGGGAGCTAAATGAAGGATATTTATGGTCAAAAGAGATGTAATGGACATTAGACCCTGATAAGAAGGGAAGGTGGGAGGTTGGGTTCTCTCTCAACTGGAGAAAACCATAGCTTTTTGGAAAATATCTGATTTTAGGAGCAAGGAAAGGAAAGAAGAATCTGAAAGATCATGTTGTGTGACAAAGTCAGGAAATACCCAAAGAATGATGGAGATGTCCCAAAAGACACAGAAACCAGGTTGAAGAGGATCCCACTGGCCACATCTGGGAAACTGGGGCATCAAAATAATAATGATGATAAAAGATTATAACTCATTGAATAAACTAGGAAACCATCAGTACATACTAATTGTATATATATAAATAAATAAAAGTTAGATGAGAAATGGAATAATCTGAAAGTAACTCCCTGTAACATAATTTGTTCATTTTTAATAGAAAAAGAGCAGCTTTATAGTGAACAAGTATGACAGAAACTGAGTTAATCCAAAAATCAAAATAAATATGATAAGGAATGGGAGAAGCTGAAACTGTTGCATCTGAT